GCCAATAATCCTAAGAAGAACATTCCTTGCTACTTAGAGTATTTTGTTGGATTTTAAACCATATAAGATGATTTTGAGGGTAGAAGATATGCAGTAGAGCTTTACTATGAACATTCACTCAAAAAACTAACTTACCTTGAGCAGTGCAAAAAAAAAAAAAAATGGAAACTAAAGGGATGACTATGCAAGTCATCGCTACAAGAGGGCGTTGGTGGGCTGGTTGGAGCAATAAAGGATCAATAACTTTTAGCATTGGAGGTCAAGGATGAGGCTGAGATGTTTGAAAGTGCAACTGTTGCAAGGCTGAAAATTCATTTTTTCAAATAACACTGAGTACTAAAACAACAAAGTTAAGCTAGTGACTATAAATAAGTGCTTACTGGGAGGCAATCTAACCTTCTACCCTTTTATTTAATATGCTTTCTAGATATAGGATAGGGAGTTTGTTTTTATTGAGGTGTCATCATACCAAAAAAAAAAGTATAAATAGTAACTTCATGATTGCAATCCACAACCGTGACGTGCCATAGTCCCCTGTCCTATTTTCCCCTTCATACCTTTGTTCTTCTTGAATTATGAGATGTTTTGGGCTAGGTATTCACTATTCCATGTTATTTGATTACTAATGTTTGGATTTTATTCATTTTATAGAAACATGACATTGAGGAACACTCGAACCAATACTGCCAAGGAGATAATGCGATCGAGCGGATCATCTGGCTTCATACATAAATACCATTTTAACCACTACCTTCGGTTTGAGAGTCTTCAATTTTCTCACATTGCCATTCTTTTTGTGCACTTAGTGTCTTATTTTCTTACATTGAGGGCAATGCACATTTTAAGTTTGGGGTGAGATGTTATCGTCGATTTTGTGTGTTTTAATTATTTTTACATGCTGCTTGTGCGTTATATAGAAAAACAATTATTTCAATGCTTTTTTGTGCTGGTGTGAGTTATTTAGGAAGTTTAATGGAGAGTAGTCCGCACATAAAGTTGATAAAAAGAAAAATATATATATATACTACATAATTTGATTAAGTCCCAAACACTTTCTTGAAAGAACTAGCTCTTTAATAATAGATAATTAGCCTAGTTGAGTCTTAGAGTTTGAAGTAGTCAAAATATCCGAGAATCCTTAGTTTTTGAAGTGTTTTGCTACTAGTGACATTTATTCAAGCTCGAAAGAGTGATAATTAGGATCGTCTGAAATTCGACCTATGATCACATTTGGGGAAAATAAGTGAAAATAATAAGTGTGGGGGTGTGTTTCTAATGAATGAAGAAATGAAAGATTTGACCATCGAGGGTCAAGAATTGAACCAATCATAAATTTGAAATGTGTTATATAAGTCTTCATACACACACGTCGAGTCTTTCATTAAAAAAGTAGAGATTGATTTTTATATGTGATTTTGAAACTATTATTTTTGTTGACGTAGAAATTTCAATCCTGAAACCAATGACATGTTATCTAACATATTGTATTTTGAGTTATGCTACAGTTTGTTTGAGGACAAATAAATATTCAAGGTCGTGGATTTGATAAGTATATTTTGTATACTTATTTAAACCTTTAAATTAGAGTATTTATTGGTTATTTTGATGAATTATGGCTTAATTCTACATGTATTGTGTTTGTGAGGTACATATCAACATAATGGTAGAATTGGAGAAAAAAGACTGAAAAAGTTCAAGAACAAATTGGTCGCAAAAGCTAAAGCCATGCGTACGTAGTGGTAGAGCCAGCACCCAATAAGGTGGCACGATCATGCATGCTGGCTCCGTAAAAATTTACTGGTACAGCGACTGAGCAGTTAAGCTTTTAGAAATGACCGCTTGTGAATTGAAGACAGTGAGAAGACGGGGAGAAAAAGAAAGATGTGGAAGATGATGTTTGGGTAGGACTTAGGCCTTTTTTAAGTTAAGTCGTTTTCTTTCTTCCTTTTTAACTGCCTGAGTCCATTTGGAATTAGAAGAAAACGAGTGGTTGGTAGCCAATAGCCAAATGCCCAAATTTGAAAGTGGAAACCCTATTCTACCTTGACTCTCGACTCCGACGTGACAATTCTCAGAGTTCACTCACTTGCAAACGCACTCCTTCACCAATTACGGACGTACATCGCCTCACTGCCGCTTGTGGTAAATTTTTTGCATTCATCTTCTTAAATCTTTTGTTTTCATAATCTTGGAATTTTATACGATTTTGTGCAGGGGCTATTGCAATTTTTGTGGCTAATTTAAATGTTAGCTCATTGTAAGACTTCAATTGAAATTCTTTTGTTCAGGCATCATGCATTCATGTACCATTTTTATTGATGCAAATGAAACAAACTGATTTTATTGTTTTGATATATGATAAATTGGTGTTAGAAATTTGTGATAAATGATAAGCTAGTGTTGGAAATAGAAAATATTAATAAACGATATCTCTTTTATTGCCATTCTATAAAGAACCATCCAATACTTGGAGATTATTATCACATATTCTGTAATTGAAGTGAGGCTGAACAAGAGCTTTAGAGAGAATCAACAAAAGGAATTAAAGATTCAAGGTGTAAATCGAAGAAAAAGTGCAAGAAATTGATTTCTCAAGCCTCTACATCCATTCTTTGAATTCGGTGTTTTCTTTTTTTAATTTCGTGTGTAATTTAGACACAATCGTGTTAGGCTAAACTTCTCTTGTACATTGGATGGATGATGGAACTTTTTGAGTTATATTTCTAATTCAAGACTTATTGTATTTTAATTGTGTGCATGAGTATTATGTTATTTGATTTCATAGCTATCAATTTGATAACTTGTTGTTTATTCGTAGTGTTGGAAGACTCAAAATAAGTAGAACACAATACATTTGACATGTGGACACTAGGTATTCAAAATAATATTTAGGGCATATGCAATCATGTGTGATAATAGTATGATTGAATGCTTGCATTGCATATGAATTCGGACCAAGAATAGGATCAAGCCGTGCTAAGGATTTGTTTAATATATTTTGAAAAAGAATATTAGATATTAGTGAATTATCGATTCTCACGAACACTTGAACAACACTAATTCACATAAGTCTGGAATTAGAAATAAAAACCAATAGGCCAATTCTGAAATCCAATATACATATCTCATTATTTGATAAGAACAATCTTTTACAGAATTCTAAGTTTAGTTTAGAATAATTACAAAAAAAACCAATAGTTTTATGTTATGTAGATTGAATTTGGTAGAAATTGGCACTCTATAATCAAGAGTTATTCCTCATAGGACAAAAACTCAACTCATCACATTATTGCTTGTCAATGATCCCGCATGTTTGATGGTTTTGTGTGAACATTATTTATAAAGTTCAAGGAGCAAAATAATATGTACAAATGGACAAGGATCCAGACATTCGTAAAAATAAAAACCAATAGGCCAATTCTGAAATCCAATATACATATCTCATTATTTGATAAGAACAATCTTTTACAGAATTCTAAGTTTAGTTTAGAATAATTACAAAAAAAACCAATAGTTTTATGTTATGTAGATTGAATTTGGTAGAAATTGGCACTCTATAATCAAGAGTTATTCCTCATAGGACAAAAACTCAACTCATCACATTATTGCTTGTCAATGATCCCGCATGTTTGATGGTTTTGTGTGAACATTATTTATAAAGTTCAAGGAGCAAAATAATATGTACAAATGGACAAGGATCCAGACATTCGTCCTTGTGTTCAGACATACAAAAACTAGCCATTATGCATATGAATTTAAAATGGTCAAAAAAATTGACCGTTGTACCAAACAAACATCCGCATGATAGAACCAGACATCTGTTTCTCGTAATTTTCTTTTGATAGTTCCAATTTGAATATTTTGAAAATGTAGGCTTTTAAAAGACTATTTCAACCGTTTTTTCAAGGTAAGTGATTTTGTAAAATATGATCTAAGTTGAAATATTAATTTTGAAAATCTTATTTTTGAAAAATAATGTATGTGAGTGTTTATGAAAATGACTTTTTGTGCATAAAAAACTATTCTTAGAGCTTCCATCATTCGTTGCTAAAAATTGAATCGTTTACACATTTACAAGTGAATTAAGAGCGCTTAATCTATCATATTTCCTTGACATTTGACTTTTAAGCTCTTGTCAGAAATGACTTGACTTGAATGCTTAACTTCAATCTCAGCCTTTCTTGTTAGTCCGATTTGTATTGTAAAAGTCTTGATAAAGATCGTTTTGACCATAATCGATCAATTTAACATTTAATGCTTTAAATAGAAAGATGTATTTATGATATTAACATTTAATGAATAGACGATCAAGAGAGGAAAAAATAAGAAACATGAGGGAAATATTAAATTATGGTAACATACTCTGTCTAGAAAAAGTATGAAGATGAACTCTTTAGGCATGGTCTAATTATATAACAACATTTTTAGCAAAGTCCACCTTAAATTGAAGATTCTCTAAGTGTCATACATTTGAAATAACGTTGATCCATTTGTCAGAAATTGAGTGGACGGCTAAGGAACAGTCAAATGGAGAGGACATATCACGACTCGTTCACTCAATCGTCATTCCCATCATAAAAACTATATTAACATTAATTAACTTGACCAATGGGTACAAATACTGTTCCATTGATATTTCTATCTCCAAGCTAGTAATGGACACTGGAACCCATAATACATGTGTACATATACACAAAATAATACCCACGGAAATTTATGTCCAGACATTTTCTTAGAAATCAATTGCAGAAAATGACATTGCACTGCAAGCTTTATCGCTGTCTTCAACCCCAGTAACTTTCTTGGGCCTCCCTTCTCATCTTTTTCATAATTATCTCACAAGAGGGATCAATATCAATCGGTGGACCAAGTAGAAAATAAACAAAATTTAGTCACACAACTAGTAAAGAAAATGAAACTAGCAGAAAGTAGTAATAGTGGCAGTTTGTACTGCGAACAGAAAGAAGAAAATGGACGACTTTTACCTTCCCTTTTGACTGTCATGGAGTAGGTAATCCGCGACCTAGACGCAGCTCTAAATCGATCTCTTCAATGGCTGAATCTCTGTCGCTCTCGTTACCTTGATTATTATTGTCATTGCTAATGAAGGATGAAGGTTGTGTTTTGCTCGAGTACTCGTGACAAAGTAGCAAAGGATTCACGCTATGTGCAGCCTCCCCGGGCATATCAGTAGGTAGAGGATGATTAGGGGAGACAGAAAGGATATTAGTAGTAGAGGGTAAATTTTGTGCAAATACACCATTAAGTTTAGGAATGGAATAGGAAAGGCAAAGTCCATTCGGTAAGAATTCTTGATTTGGGACTAAAATTGTGGAATCAGGAGATTTAGGAAAATCATTTGAAGAAGAAGAAGGAAACATAAGTAGTTGTTGGTGAAGCCTAGCACGATCCCGTCGATGCACATTCATATGACCACCTAAGGCTTGCGCGGATCGGAATTCCCTTCTACAAAAGTGGCAAGTGTATGAGAGTGGTGGCCAAGTGCATCCCATTTGGTTCCCGGCAGTAATGTCCTCCTCGAAGGCTCGAACTTCCCATGAATCAACTTCATTTTCACCAGTCGGGTGCACCTTATTATTGTTATTGTTGTTGTTGTCGTTGTTGTTGTCGTCGTTGTTCCACATCCCAAAGCTTGTACTATTATGAGATTGAAGCCGAATCAAGGACAGAAGCTGAAGCTCAGCAGCCATTATACTAGTACTAACATTTAAAATATTAAGTTGGTAAGAGATAATGTCGAACAAGAAAAGATGAATAGAGAGGTTAAATAGGGGATGGGGTTGTGGGATGATTGAAATGAAGACAAAAACCCTAGCACCGATTTTATCTACAACAGTTCTACAAATATGCACTTAAATTTTAGTAGTGAAGATAGAGAGATTAACAATATAATAACTCCCCATCCCAATGACTATGAAAAGTAACAGTCTGTTACATTGGCTTCAACGTCCATCCGTGTCAATATCTTCCTATCTTTTTCTCGATCTAAGTAATATTATATAGAGAGAAGGAATGACAATGAGAGCATAACAAACTAATAATTAGGATAGAGATGAAGTTGATTACTAAGAAAAATAGTCTTTCGATATTATCTCAAAATCTTTAGACCATTTACAAATTTCGATGAAGAGTACATCATATAAGCATATCTTTGGTCATGCATATAAACACCTTATAGACACTTGAGAAAATTTATATTCATACATTTTAATAAATCCACAAGTACTACAAGCTTATCTACAACTGATTTCTATCCATTTATAATTTGAAACAGTTTATAGGTTCCTCAAACGTGTTGACAAAAAGTGGCCTGAATTTTATAAACAATTTATAAACATGAGCCAAACATAGATGTACGCTAATAGCCCACAAGCATACGAGATCGTTGGCAAGTAATAATTTAGAAACAAAGAGTATCGTTTTGCAACAAATAAATCTCAAATTTTATTGTATTAACTCATTATCAAATTTTTATGTAACCGTAACACAGAAAGTTTGATTTGTTTATTTCCAAATTATCCTACTTATTAACTAAGAATCTAATAAACTATTTCTGTAAATGAAGTGTTGAAATTCCATACATTACTTTTGTATTTCTAATTCCAAATCCACATATTACTTTTCTATTTCTAATTCTCAACCTATTTATCTAGTTGAATTTGTGTATCTTTGACAATCGATAATTCTGTTTTATTTAACTCTCTCTAGGTAAGTCAAAACTATTTTAAGTAAGACATGATAATATTTTTATCCCGAATTCTTATGCACAGTAATACATTAATTATAATATAACCTATATTATTGCACAAGCCATAAATGTCATCTGTTATATGTATTGAATATTGTTCCGGTTGTTGAAATTACAATGTTTTAAACATATCATAAAATGCCTCATATGGTGCCATGTCAATCCCATGGGCGGATCCAGGGACGGGCTGGGCCGTGCTACAGCCCGTCCCCTTAGCTCAAATTTCCATTAAAAAAAAATTTAAGTAATTTTTTTTTATGTGCAATATTTTTTTATACGTATTAGCCCTTGTTGAATTTTTTCCTAGATCCGCCACGACTCAATCCTAATATTCTATTACCACTAAAATCATATCTTAAACACCAAAATTAGCTTTCTAAAACTTGAAAATTATTTAATAATATATATATATATATATATATATATATTCACTTCACTGATCATCTCATGCCTCAATTGTCATGAACCTTTAATTCTTTGAAAGAGGATAAAAGAGGGTATGAGATAAAATCCCAATAAGCATATAAATACGTGGGTTAAAATTTCAATGTAATTAAAATATTATCTCAACTATTCAAAATTTCAATGATAATTAATTAAAAGAGAAAATTAAAACATTATCTCAACTATCGAAATTTATCTTAAAGATATATAGGAAATTTTCGTTTCTCTAATTTTCAACAACTTGGGCTTAACCGATATTGATCAATAGACGATTATCACTACTATAAAAAAAGGACAATGTTTCACTACTGTAGAAAGAACAGTAGATTCTTCCATTTTGTCTCACTGTAGCTTTTTTTTTTTTTATTGAGAGAAAACAACGACGTCGTTTATCTTACGTGTTTGATACAGTGACTTTGTTGATTTTCCTCAATTTACGCTGCGTGGAGGATTATGTTATAGAGCCATCTTTACTCTTTGCCATCTTTACTCTTTCTCCGTTTTTACATGCTACAGTCATGCATCTCTATTTCTCCACACTAATTCAAGAGCGAAAGTGTGAATTCCATAAATATATGATTGAAAATACGCTTGAAGAAAATAAAAACCAAACATGTTAACAAATGAATATATTTATTTTTTGAAAAATAAGTTTTTATTACCATTTCATTTTTATCATGAAATAATTCTAATCTTAATATGTTAGATTGTGTGCTTCAAAATTACATAATCTATCAAATATAATTTTTAAAATTAATTTTTATAAAGTAATATGTTTTTATGAATTTTTTTTTTAATAAAGTAATGTTATGAAGGTTCAAGCATGAGCCTCCGTGAATGTCCATAATGCCTCCGTTAAACGGAGGCTCATGTTGAGGCCTCCATAATTCTAGAGGCCTCAACATGAGGCCTCGAGAATTCTAGAGGCTCATCCATTGGAGGCTCAAGTTACGGAGGCTCTAACGTGCATTTTTTTACTTTCTTTTTCCTTCATTGGCTCTTAGTACAATAATTTAATTTCATTTAATCAACTTAATTTTTTTAATATTCTTAAAATAAAAATAAATAAAATAATGGAGGATCACTCTTTCTCCATTTTTACACGCTACAACCATACTTCTCTATTTCTCCACACTATCTCTTTCACCATTTTCTCACGCTATCAACCATGTATCTTTAGAAAGTTTATTTTTGAGCACATAAGTAAGTTTAAATAAAAATATTATTTTTATATATGTGCGTAAAAGGTATATAATAACCATTTGGAAGACCAAAAAATAATATCAATCAAAATGTTTACGAACCGTTTAAATAATAATTTATTGAGTGAGTTAATTTAAGAGCAAAAGTGTGAATTTCATAAATATATGATTGAAAATATGTTTGAAGAAAAATAAATTTTAAAAAATGAAGACCAAACATGTTAAAAAATGAATATATTTATTTTTACTCTATAAAAAAAGGACAATGTTTCACTACTGTAGAAAAAATAGTAGATTCTTTCATTTTGTCTCACTGTAGCATTTTTTTTATTGAGAGAAAGCAACGACGTCATTTATCTTACGTGTTTAATACAGTGACTTTGTTGTTTTTCCTCAATTTACGCGGCGTGGAGGATTATGTCATAGAGCCCTCTTTACTCTTTCTCCATTTTTACACGCTACAATCATGTCTCTCTATTTCTCCACACTAATTCAAGAGCGAAAGTGTGAATTCCATAAATATATGATTGAAAATATGTTTGAAAAAAATAAATTTTAAAAAATGAAGACCAAACATGTTAACAAATGAATATATTTATTTTTTGAAAAATAAGTTTTTATTACCATTTCATTTTTATCATGAAATGATTCTAAACTTTATATGTTAGATTGTGCTTTAAAATTACATAATCTATCAAATATAATTTTTAAAATTAATTTTTATAAAGTAATATATTTTTATGAATTTTCTTTTTTTAATAAAATAATGTTATGGAGGTTCAAGCATGAGCCTCCGTTTAACGGAGGTATTATTGTGCATAATGCCTCCGTTAAACGGAGGCTCATGTTGAGGCCTCCGTAATTCTAGAGGCCTCAACATGAGGCCTCTAGAATTACGAAGGCTCATGCTTGAGCCTCCAGAATTCTGGAGGTCTTCATGGGAGGCTCAAGCATGAGCTTTCATAACTCCAACGTGCATTTTTTTACTTTTTTTTTCTTCATTGGCTCTTAGTACAAAAATTTAATTTCATTTAATTAACTTAATCTTTTTAATATTCTTAAATTAAAAACACATAAAATAATAGAGGTTTACTCTTTCTCCATTTTTACACGCTACAACAATGTTTTTCTATTTCTCCACACTATCTCTTTCACCATTTTGTCACGCTATCAACCATGTATCTTTAGAAAGTTTATTTTTGAGCGCATAAGTAAGTTTAAATAAAAAAATTATTTTTATATATGTGCGTAAAAGGTATATAGTAACCATTTGGATAGCCAAAAAATAATATTAATCAAAATGTTTACGAACCGTTTAAATAATAATTTATTGAAGGGGTTAATTCAAGAGCAAAAGTGTGAATTCCATAAATATATTATTGAAAATATGTTTGAAGAAAAATAAATTTTAAAAATGAAGACCAAACATTAACAAATGAATATATTTATTTTTCGAGAAATGAGTTTTTATTACCATTTCATTTTTATCATGAAATAATTCTAATCTTAATATATTAGATTGTGTTTCAAAATTACATAATCTATCAAATATAATTTTTAAAATTAATTTTTATAAAGTAATATGTTTTTATGATTTTTTTTTTTTTGGGAGGTAAAATATAATAGTACTAAAAAATAAAAAATAATTAAATTTTTATTAATTTTATAATATAATATGTTATGGAGGCTCATGCTTGAGCCTCCATAACAATTATGGAGGCTCGAGAATGAGCCTCCATTATTACTTTACTAAAAAAAAAAATCATAAAAACATATTATTTTATAAAAATTATATTTGATAGATTATATAATTTTGAAGCACAATCTAACATATTAATATTAGAATAATTTCATGATAAAAATGAAATGATAATAAAACACATTTCTCGAAAAATAAATATATATTCATTTGTTAATAAATAAAAACATTATTTTTATATATGTACGTAAAAGGTATATAGTAACTATTTGGATGACCAAAAAAATAATATCAATCAAAATGTTTACAAACCGTTTAAATAATAATTAATTGAGGGGGTTAATTCAAGAGCAAAAGTGTGAATTCTATAAATATATGTAAAAAAAAAAAAGAAAAATTGCTTAAAGTTATTTTAAAAAAAACTTATAGTTGTAAAAATTACTTGTAACTTAACAATATATTAACTTAAAAATTTGGAGTAAATATTTAAATATATTTAATTTTTAAAATTAAATATTAACTTGTATGTTAAATAGATGATCTATAAATAAAATATCATTTAAATAAAAAAAATATCAAAGGAATCTCTCCATATTT